TTCTTATCCTGGGAAAGAATACCACTTCAGGTCAGAAGCCTAATGATCACAACGAGGCAGGAAATGTTCTAATATTCACCACCAATCTGTAAACATCTCAGTGTTTGCTGAGGTCTTGCACATAAAATTGTCTTGGATTATTTTCCCATAGACTATTTCTCCCAAAATTTTTAATTTGAAAGACCTCTTTTAAAAACTCAACCTGGTATGGACTCCATCTTCTGGAAGAGAAATTTAGTTTTTCTTCTCTTCTGGATATATAGAATTTAGTTTGCAGTGATACTGAACTTCCATATTACCAAACAAGAAAAGCTATGACTTACGTGTCTCAGAACTTTTTCTTTCCTTTTCTCTGAATCACCAAATTGTCAATTTGATTCACTGACATAACAAAATATGAGTATACAAAAGTAATAGGATCCTTCATCCAGAAGAGTCTCACGGCCCTTGTCCAAAACCTTACAGTAATACATACTTGGGGTTGGCTTTTGCACATTGTTCAGTAGGATTCCACTGGGGTTAGTTTAGGAAATTAAGAAGAGTTCAGCAGCCACATTAGGTTGAAACCACACACTTGACAAAACTAGCTTGTGACCAGCAGGCAGGGGCTGGTGTTCCAGCTAGGAAAAAAATTTAGTAGCCAAAAATTAGACATAACTTTGATTATTCACCTTCAAAGATGTTGCTGGCCACATGGTATACAGAGCTTGCTTGAACCAGGTTATGTCATTTGTTTAGTCCTAACTCATAGAGAGCCATTCTTGAATCGCCCCCACCAGAAACTACAGTAGGTTCTGCTTTTCTAGGAGATAATAATGACTAAGAGAACTTCTGTGATCATAATATGGACAGCTCTTGGCTTCTTGGGGAAGTTGTATATGAAAGATATCACTACTCCTATAAAATATATAATTAATGGCTGAATTTTATTACCATTTCTATTCCTGTAGCCACGCTCAAGGTCTTGGAAATCCTTCTACGTAAAACTTGATGGATTAAAGCTTGATTTCTATAATGATGAAAATGAAGCATCTAAGGTAATTTGGTTTTTGAATCTTTCTAGAAATTTGTCTATCTATGTAAAAATGCACTTAAAAATTACATTTAAAAACATTTGCTTTGGTTTGGGGCTGGGGTAATCAGTTCTCTTTCAAATGTCAGCTGAATGAAAATTCAGCAATTATTCAACTGCTGCCAACTATAAAACAGAATAATAAGTTTTCATATCTTTTCAAGGATATTCTTTAAAAGAAGTATCTTATGCAAGAATTGCCTTCAAGATACAATGTAATCATCCATTGTTCCTCTGTGGTTCTTTCTATTCAGTGATCCTAGTTATAAAGTTAGAGGCATCAAAAGACGGGTGTCTAGTTAGCCTGCAGGTTGGTATGGAATTGAATCCTAGCAGAACAGAAACAGAAGACATTTTGCTTGTATTTTATCCCCCTTCAGAACATATCCACACTCCTCTCGCTCAGCATTGCAGGCTCCAAATGTGAGAAGCTGGTAAATTACAGCAGGAAGGAGAACAGCTTCATGTTGCGGTAAGTCTTGTGGAGAAGCGTGCAAATGAAAAGCTAAACAGCCACCTGTACAGTTACATTTGCCTACAGTCACCTAAGACTGGATGTTAGAAGGCATAACTGATCTGTCTTACACTCATCAGGACAGAAGGTATAAGGCAATACTAACTGGAATTCACCTTCTATCCTCATTTACAGGCTGAGAGATGGGGCAGAGTATTACTTTGCAGCACCTTCTCAGACACTGATGGAGGACTGGCTACAATCACTACGGAATAATATAGGTACATTCTCACTTCCTTCAATAATGAGCTATGTTTTTAGCAACTAATGATGAAAGAAAGAGAATGAGAAAGTGTCCTTAGTTCAGTGCATTTTGAGCTGCCTTTTTTGCCTCTGTTAGACAGCAGTTCACAGGTCACCTGCCACCTTGTGATGTAGTGACCTGGCAGGAGAATGCCCAGGGCAACTTGCAAAGCAGCCTTTCAGTTGTACTGTGGCCAGGTTATTCCCAAGCCTTGCCCAAGGATTGTATTCCTCCTTTTATTAAGGAGCTGCCTTGGATCCTGATCAACAACTTTTCTTCTGAATCTAAATCTCTTTCTGGACAGCAGTGGCTTACTGGAAAGGAAGTCAAAGAACAGTTATAACTATGAAGTTCAAAGAAAATTGTTATGGGCCCAGAAAAGGCAAACTCTGCCTCTAATGCTACTTCAGAAGGTTTTTATTTGTGCATTTTTTTGACCTTGCAGAAAACAGTAACAGATCACATTCCACAGTGATGGTGCAGCCTTTCACTCCAAACACACAGACATCCCAGAAAAGACTGTGGGACTTTACAGACAGGGACTCTGCGGAAAGACCGACCAGCAAAAGCTCACTCGTGAGGTATGGGCTCTGTGCCGCAAAGCTGAACATATGTCAGTGCTGTTTGTGTTCAGGTAGCAGTCACCTACAAAGGGAGACTGTCCTGAGGTCAAAAGGTCCTACTCCTCTGTCACTAATGTCATAGAAATAGTGTGGCCAGCAGGACTAGGGCTGTGATCATCCTCTGTACTTGGCAGTGGTGAGGCCACACCTTGAGTCCTGTGTTCAGTTCTGGGCCCCTCACTTCAATAAAGAGGGAGCATATGCAAAGAAGGGCAACAAAGCTGGTGAAAGGTCTTGAGAAAAGTCTTACAAGGAGCAGCTGAGGGAGCCGGGATTGTTTACCTGGAGAAAAGGAGGCTCAGGGGAGACACAGACAAGGAAAACATAGCCATGGCAAAATTCAGAAATTTGGCTTGTGTAAATCACTTTCTGTTGCATTTGGAGTCTTTAAAAAGTTACAGACTATGATGTGAAATCCTAGTCTTGCTGCCAGGCAGACTTTTGCTGCTGAGTTAGATGCCTAACAAGTTCTTATATATACAGAGCGACTTAAACCCCTCTATATTGTACCTGATTTTCTGATGATGCATGTTCTTGATAGGAGAACACCATCCTTCAAAATCAAAGCGGAGAGAAAGTCTGCAGAATCTTCCAGATTTTAAGGAAGATGAGACTGCAGTGACACAAGCCTCCATCACCACCCTAAGTCTAGAACAAAGTGGCAATAAAACAAAACTGCTTCCATCTCTACTAGAAGCAGGAAGAGAAAAATTATATTTGCTTTAATGAATACCGGACCATTATAACTTAACTCAGCCCTCTGGAAATGTATGGATATGCTTTAAGGTAATCGATTCCCTTGAAACTTTTTAAATTATGTATTAAATCTCATAAAATCTTTAAATACAATTAAATAGGACTGTATCTGGTATACTTTTGTGTGTACAACTACTCTGTCATTCACCACACCACACAAGTGATATCTACTCTGAGTTACCCAAGGGAAGAGCAGAGAGACCTTTAAGCCAGACAGCTCAAGTGGAGTGACTCTGCAAGGCAGGAATGGGGAGCACCGAGCAGAGCATGAGGTGCAAGCTGTGACTGAACTACAGCCACCTGCAAGTGGATTTGCAGATACCAACAGATTAGATTTAAGAGGCTTCGGTGGTCTGTGCACCCAAAGGTAATCTTTTTTTATATACTTCCTTCAGTGTTTTATAGTCTCCACAATCTTTCCTTTTTACAACACATTAATCAAAAACTCCCTATTTGCCAATTCTTTCTGGATGAAGTTACTAGGAAAAAAAAGTCCTACACTGCTACTAATTTTTAATGGATTCTGAGTCTAAAATAAGGCATGAAGAACCAGTCTTTCAGTGTAAAAGGAGCGGAAATGCAGGTTAGCAAGAAGGAGGTCTTGTCCCCAGACAACAAGCTCCACATGCTAAGGTATGGTGTAACCATGGGGAGAAAAATATACTTTTTTCCCCCCTACTTATCTCTGTTGCTGAGCCAAAGAAAAGTTATCCATCATGAAGATGGGGAGAAAGGGCATTTTTTTACCCCCAGGACAGTGTGGTGGCCGGGGGCTCTTCTTTGACAGGTGGAAGCTAAAGTTTCAAGTCCTTAAATCCTCAGCTTTGGTCCTTTTCTACCCAGTCTGAAGCATAACCCTCATTCTTTGCTTGCAGTCTTCTCCTCTGCCCTAATTCTCCAGTTGTAGGGAAGGAGAACCCTTTACACCAAGTTTATGTAAATACTTTCTGGGTACATGCAACATCTAGATTTAAATTTAGACTGATTCAGATCAGTCACTTGCATCCAACAAGGTGATCTAATAATTTCTTCTTTTTTTTTTTTTTTGGCTAGTCTAGCTCTCTCATCTGCTGCACCTCAGTTGGAGCTGCTGCCTGTCACAAAAAAAACCAAAAAACAACCAACCAAACAAACAAACAAACAAAAAACCTCGGCACATAAAAGAAATGGGAAACTGATGCATTTTCATTATTGTTGATCATTTTTAGCTGCTTTTATATTAAAAAAAAAAAAAACAAAAACAAAAACCTAATGCTTTTTTTTTAAAAAAAAAAAAAAAAGCTTAAGTATATTAAACTTACCATTTAATTGATAACAGCAAAGTTATCAAGAAAGCCAGCCTTCTGTACACACAGGTCAAATCACCAAGAGGCAAAACAAAGCTGTGCCTTGGTTGTGGCTCAGTACATATGTCTCTTTACCCTGTCTTGTGCCATTCCACTGAAGAGGGTTTTACCACAGGAGGCATATTTTGTTCTACTTTTTCCAAGGTTTTCCAGGCCTTTGTAAAGCTGAAGATCTTCTCCCAGATTTTTTTTCTATCCACTCTTGAAAGCAGTAAATGCCCTATGAAGTTCGCAGCAGGCATTTAGCAGTAAATAGTGCTAATACAAGTGGAAAAAAACATTGTCTTGTGTTTAAGTGCATAAAGTTTCAGGGGTCTGGTGCTCCTTCACAATATTTTATTTTTAATTAATATATTATTATATTTTAATTCATATATTATTAAATGGTTTAAAGACACAAGCAAGCAATTTCTCTGAAGAACAGCTAGCACTTATAAGAACAAATGCCCTCCAGGTCCTCCTGCCACACCATCAAGCCAGCAGCGTACTCCCTTAATGTCACAGAATCATAGAATCATTTAGGTTGGAAAAGACCTCTATGACCATTGAGTCCAACCATTAACTCAGCACTGCCAAGTTGACCACTAAACATGTTCCTGTGTGTCACATCCACATCATGTTACAAAACCAAAAAAGTAACCAAAATAAAACAAAAAGGCACTCTGATGGGCAATGATAGAGCCCTTGCATAATTTCAAGCCCTGAAATACAAAAATATATTTGATAAAACTAATATCATTTAAGGCTACAGTGATACCACATGGGGCCCCAAGGAAATGAATGGGAATATGCTTGTCTGTGCCTCCGGCTGCAAAATTGAACAGCAGTCCCCAGCTTGATTTTAAGCGTTAGCACAAATTTTGGTGACAGTTCTCCTGGCAAAGGGAGAGTCACACCACCTTCTCCACCCACAACTACCTAGCTACTATCAGTTGCTGTTACTGGAACTCCCCCCTAACTGTTCAGCCCCCAGCCCTGTCCTCCAGCTCAAACCTTTGCAGCTCCTGTGTAATAGTGTAATGCTGGAAAATGTAAGCAACAATTCGATGTCTCAAGAGCAGTGAGGACATGAGATGGACAGCATGATGGTGTCACTCACTTCTTGTCCATCCTTTCCAGCCGGGGCAAGCAGGGGGTTGAACACCAAATGTCTGTGGAGCCTGGGTGAATCAGGGTGCACCAGGACATGGGAGCACACAGCCTCTCCACAGTCATGATGGAATTAGTTTTTGTTCTGTGCAAGCAGGTTATAGGGAGGGGTTTCTTTATATGACCAGCCAGAGGAGCATGAAAATTTGTATGTGCCACGAAATACTGTACCTGGATGTGCTGCTCTCCTGTGCGAACGTAACAGATCCTGCTGGTAGGACTCTCTTTTTGAGATAGATAGTTCCCTGTTGCTATCTCACCTTTCAACTCAAAATGGTTCTTTCTTTTTTTTTCTTGCAGCTGGTATCCCATTAGTTCTTAACTTCTCATGGCCAGAATTCAGCTGTGCAGTTGCATTCCAGCTTTTACTACTCCTCAGGTTTTGCATGATATTCTTTAGCTCAGGAAATTAGCACTGTACAAGGAATATTGCTACAGCTTACTCACTGCCATTGCAGCAGTAGCAGCATTTAATAGATGCAGGGTTCAGGCAATGAAGTCTTTGTAAGTGCTCTCTCTTTGAGCTTGACTACTGCCTGCATATACCCTGTTGCTCTTTCTTTGTCTAATTTTGGATTTCAAGTAAAATAATTCTAGGTCTCAAGTAAATTTCCAACATGGAAGAAATGTATAAGATTTTCCTTGGAGGTTCCTGATGAATATGCTGTGTTCGGAATAAACAAGGCAGAAGCAGGTCCAAATACTTCAATGTTAGAGAAGTCTGCGAACTCCTCTGGAGCTCTGTTTTATATTGGTCAGCATCCTTCCCTGCCATCTTTTTAATATAGTGGAAGGCCATAAAGATGTTCCAAGCTCCTAGTTCAAGGCAAAAATCTCTCACTGCACTCCAAAGCAAATGAAAACCAGGTGTCATTTTTCCAAATTTTTTCCTCCAACAAGGAGGTGTGATAGAGAATTTCCTTTTTTTTTTCTTATTTGTGCTCTATTTCGTGTAGCAGCTCTAAAAATACTTTGCCTGTTATAAGGGATAGAAGACTGTAAAATGTAAAAGTCTTCTGGGTGTGAAAAGGCAGTGGCTATGCATTCTGTTAGTGAGTTACGTTGTCGTACATTCAGTTTACATCTGTAAGGAGCACCAGCTTATGGCTTGGTCATTATTACTTAATTAAATGTACTTGAATCTACGGTAGATTCAAGTAGATTTACGGTAGAATCTACTAAAGCTTCTGCTATCAAAAGTTTGTTTCAGGCTCTTGACGTTTTAACGTATAAAGGCACTGCTGGTATAAATCAATGCAACTACTCATGCTCTATTCAGAACTTTTCCTCCAGCCAACGCTCAAAAGAACCATACTCACTCACTGCAGCTAACGTCATCTCTCCTTGAAATGTAACTGCCCCCTTTGTGGCAGTTTGGAGCAGCATTTCTGTGCCAAACTCTGGCAGGGGAACAGAAAAAAAAGGAGTAACTTCTAAATCAGCAAGGGGAATTGGCCAGACAGAGCGTGACTGTCCACATTTCAGTTTGGTCATTGTTCACATATGTTCACAAATATGACTCTGGCCTGACTTCAAAGCTGAGCCCACCAATTCAGTGCAAATTCTAGTTGCTCAGCCTATCTGAAAATCTGGACATTACTGAATGCAAATGGCCAGGACTTGGTTTGTAATGAAGCATTGAAAAGACACCAATAATGGGCTCAGGGTTGAAAGGACAGGCACATACAAAAAACTATCTAGCACCACCACCACCACCTGATATAATATCAGAAAGATCCTGAGAGGTCTCTGCTAACCAGGACCTTAATTTCTTAACAAGTAAGACCACAGTGTGAGGCTCTTGTGGGCTGAAAACGTAAGATTAAATAAACCCTTTTGAAAGCTAGGAGCTTGAACAAGGCAAGATGAGAAATGTACAGGTTTCCTCAGTTTTCTGCAAATAATGAACACTGTGATGTGTTGCAATGTGACTGTGATGTGTTGCAAAGTGCTGCCATAGCCTTCAGTAGGAAAAAGTGCAAAATCCCAGCCTAGGGGTACCCAGAGTAGCTGGAGACATTCCCAGTCCTGCGCATTCTCCTCCGTTCTACAGCACTCCGGATTGCCTGGAGGAGCAGGTCTTTGTTATTCAGGATGTTGTATTTGCTCAGGTTCACAAGTTTATCAAAATTTTCAGAGGAGTAGATTAACCTAATGAGGTAGTAGGGTGAGCAGCTGTTCTCCAGATTTACTTTGCCTTCTTCCATCTCTGAGTGACCACGCTTTACCCCTGCAGAGAAAGACAAAAACCACCACAGTGAGCTGAATCTGGAGTACTAAACACATGGCGTTGTAAGGGACTGATCTACTTGGCAGAACCCACTGGTAAAAACAACCCCCAGGAAATACTAAAAACCCACTCCACAGCTTGAAAGAGCCATTCCTGGTCAGTTTTCCCAGCCACTCCTCCCTCCCCTCCTGCTAAAGCTCCATCCTGGAAATCCCTTAGCAGAGGGATTTGCCTATCATCTCCTTGCAGTCTGAACCAAATATGCCCAAATGTAATGTGAGAGGATTGTCAGCAGGACTATAAAGACTGCTGAGATATTCCTTATGATGTCAACCAGAAGTTCATGACATTACATGAATTTTGCTTGAGACATAGCAGGTTTTAGTCTAACCTAGTGGTTTCTGGGCAGTGTGATATCAGAGTCCTGGGCACAGGCTATCACTAGAAGTGGCTGTATTAAAATATCTAATGTGCCTTCATTGAACCTCCCAATATTCAGAGAGACTTTGCTTTTGTGCGCTTGAGGCAGATGCAGCTTTATCTGGATGTGGGTGACACAGATACAGTCTATAGTACTTGCATTGTAAATGAGAACTTCAAAAATTGAGTGTCTTTAGAATTTAAATTGCTAAAAACAAGAAAAAGTACCCAATCCCACAAGGTGTCTCTCATACACCTAGAAACGAAAAGCTCCACTGTTAAAATTGAAATCCACAAAACCAGGTTGCCAAGGACCCTCCTCCCCCAACCACCCACATCAGTAGCTGGTTGTCAGCTTGATGGATGAATCACCAACTGCTCAGAGACATGCAGGTGAGCATCATAGCTCACCAGTTGAGGCCTGGAGCACTGAGAAGCTGCAGCAGCTGCTTTGCTCTGCATTATCTCATCTATCTTTCATTCAGAGAGATTCCAAAAACCTCACCTTCTTTACCTGCCAGCCACTGCTCAATGGCCAGATCTCACCACACATTGCCATTTGGACCATCTCCAGCCTCCACTGAACAAACCTGGTTCCCTCTACAGGGTATCTCCTCTTTCCATTCATAGAGTTTCTAAACGTGGTTTTCTTGGTTAGCTCTCACTGCACATACTCACTGAGCATCGGTGAATATCAGAGCAGAAAAGGACCTTTACTTAAGATGTTTTGCTGCTGCTCCTCCCCTTCTCCAAATGCTGCCTCAGAGACACCCATTCTGCTGTGGTCCCACTCATAACCACAACAGAATTTTGGAATTTTGCCTTACTGCCTCCACCAATTCTGCACTACCTGCGTTAATCACTGGGCCAGACAGAGCACCACATGCTCTCTCTACAGGCAGCCATTCCACCTGCTCCTGAGCTGGGTGCAAGCAGGCGACCACTACAAGTGGTTCACAGTCCTCTCTTCCAAGCAGAGCAACAGGGCCAGAGAGGAGGCCCAGTCTTTGGCCGGCTGTGCAGTGACAGAGCACTGCAGCAAGCTTGGCATTTTGCATTCATTAAACATTCAGATGCTTTCCAGGGGCTGGTTTGTTTGTTCTTCATAAAACTGAAGACCCAGCCACTCTTGGCAATGCTTTCCAACACTGTGTGGCACTGAGTTTCCTGGGACTGTGTCCTCCATACTTTGCAAATGAAGAATGACCAGCAGGTATACAGAGGTTGCTTTTCTGCCTGTCATCAGGGAAAACATACCAGGAGTAGAGCACAGTACGTAGTTTTCTTCACTTAATTTACCTGGCTCCTTGAATTCCTTAAAGGTGTCATTCACCAGGGGGAAATGGATTACTATGGGTGCTCTGGGGTCCTCAGCATCCGAAAAGATATAACATTCCTTTGGGTTCTTCTTTTCTTCTTCACTTAGCTCCACTTTGGGGAATGGGATATTTTGTATCTTGCAATATTTGTATGTCATCTCTAATTGCTGTGGACACAGAATGTCATGGAGTTAAAGCTCTAAGCGAAGAATCATGTTTACTCAGGTATCCTAGAAATACTATGGCATTTTAACTCATTCCCTAGAACCACTCTGAAATGAATGTGTAGTCCAAAGCAGCTGCAGTACAACCCTACTTTTGGCTGCGATTTACCACAAGTCAGATGATGCCTCTTATCACTCTATTATACTTTTTACAAGCTCAAGAGAATGACCCAAAACCACACTTAGAATCTGTCACGGCAGACCAGGAGAGATCAAGGGCATGTGTCCAGCAAACAACTGTTACTGCAATTCCCTGAGGATCCTAGGAAGTGTATGCTGTAATCCACTATAGAGAAAAGAGCCTAACAGTTTCTATAGTTCTGTTCTTGAAGGAAGTTTCTTTCCTCCTCCAAGATACAGTGACTGGTTTGGTCTTGAATACATGATCAAGATTTAGACAGCCACTTACTTCGAAGTTTTAATAGACAAGAATAATTTTACCAGAGTTGCAAGGAACAGAGTAAGTTAATCTTCTCACCTTGAACACATTCCCCAAACCATAATCAAGGGATATAATGACATCTACATTCCTCTCTGGCTTGAAAAGTGCTGCACCACTGGTGTTGATGAAATAGCCAACATCTATCAGACAAAGATATTTCTGCAGCGGTGTCAGACTGTTAGGGAAAGCATCCAGTACAGTGTCTGAAAAACATTTTGAATATAGTTAGTGGTGCATTGTTAGGAAAGAAGGAGTGAGTAATTCTGTCTGTGCTACTTGTTAAGGGCAGCCCCTTGGTTGCCCTCAAGACCAGGGTCGCCTCCCTCCGTAACGCAAGCCCACAAACACGGCCTCGGAAGCATGCCCTTCAAACTGCACATCTGGGCCCATCTGTCCTGTTACCACACTCTCCCAGACACACTCACAAAGGCAGGCCATGAGGCAGCCAGGAAGAGGACAGGTGATACACAGACTCCACTGACCTCACAGCTGCTCTGGGGAGTCATTTTTCACAGAATACAGACTTCAACAGATTTTTTTTTCCCCCTAAGAACTGGGAAAAATGTAAACAACAAAAACAATTTCACAGTGTAGCAACAAGGCTAACAAATGCAATACATCACTGCATTTTTGCATTGCTCTTTTTTTTGCTTTTGTATTCTCAGAGTTAGACTCCTCTCCCATGTTGAAAAATCTGACTTCAACTTGCTTTCAGTGATCTCATATAAATTATCTGCAAAAAAATACCACATCATGCACACAGTAGTCCCTACCAACAGCTTAAAATACTGCTTGACTTAATTAAACCTCACATTAATGACTATAGAAGACAAAAGGGGATTACACCAACTGGTAAGTTGAGATCTAAAGCCAGTTTCTGATAGCTAGACTATTATTTCTCTTCTAGCAACCTCACCAACTTGCCCTGTAGACAGCAAGTCCTCTGTTGTTCCCTTAGTACTCTTCTAGTCCCATGAAACAGGAAACATTTTGCAATGGTTTTAAATATCCAAATAATGGCTTAAGGGTGTTTCTCAAGTTCACAAAATGAGGTAGCAAAGTCCAAAGCAGAACACTTGAGCCTTAAATTATTGTGTTTAGGCATTTTCAGAAACTGTTGATCAAAGAAATACTGCAGCATTTCAATTCATTCAACCTCTCTACTTCCTTGGCTTCATTCTGTAGTGTTGATTTAAACCGTGCAGAGTAACTCTAGCTTGTTCCATAGCCTGGAACGTTTCACAGCAGCTTGAAGTAATAACTCATAATTTTTCCATTCCCTCACTGTCAGGTCTTTACAAAATGTGCTTATTTTAGCATTCGAAGCTGCTGAGAATTCACAGATTCTGCTGTCATGAGAGACATCTGCTTGCAGTCCCTCAGAGAAGAAACAGCTTTTTACTTTTCTTTGGCCCAGTGAAAATTTTTAGTTGAAATTACATTACCCTTCTTTTCTCATCACAGAGATGGAAATATGCAGCATTTATTCATGGCTGGATATGTGATCAAGCAGGCATCTCCTTGTGAGAATCTCTTCTTCCACATGCAAATAGAGACTTAAAAGAAGTACTGTCTGAGGAATTCCCTTGAAAGTATGAACCCTACAGTAAATGCATTACACTTATTCCATAGTATTAGTTCTGAAATGTCTCACCAGGAAAATTAGGCATTTAAAGTCTTGCTTTAATCTGCCAGATAACCTCAGATGTAGGGAAGCCTTTAAAACAAAGCTATATTCTGGAGACTTCACCTACCACAAGACTATTATTTCTGCTTACAGACCTGACATCTCCTCTTGCTCCTACGGTTTAGCTTGGTCCTATGCAGGCAGCCAAAAGAAGATAGAAAATCTGCTAGTTTTCCCAGTCCAGGCTTTCAATTTCCCTTTTCCCACTCCAGACTTCATGCTTTCTACATATTTTACTTTATTTGTAGATTGTCTACCCTGAGATAGTCTTTAGTGTTCCTATGATCACTTCCTCAAAATCCTCCTTGAAATCTGCTTCTACCCATTTGTCTTTAAAACTGATAATCAGCAAATGTAAGGAAGGCTCTTTTTTTAACATTTACTGACTGACAATTTCATCCTTCATCCACCTTCTTAAGCTACTTGCTTGCTTCTTCTCTCACCCACTCTTCTTATGCTACTTGTTTCCTCCTTCTCTCATTTGCTGTCTTGAGCAGACTCTTTTAGGACACTGCCTTTTGGCTTACTGAACATTCTGAAAGCAGATTGCACACTATGGGCTTTGCCTTAATCCACAAAAAGCACCACCACCTCTTGCCACTGTCAGCAAACTATGTAGCAATGGAAGAGAGGGGCAAAACACATTGTAACTTGCATAAAACAGCGGAAAGGAAACAAAAGTTGCCAGAAAGTCTCAGAGGAGGCAGACAACTCGTCCTCCCGCACTGCTACCTGTTCATGGAATAAATGAGGGTGGTGGGATTATAGGAAGGTTTCTGATCCACAAAACCTCAGTTCCATCACCTTGCTATCATTTCACAGTTTGTTTCTTAGATTCTGAGGTAAAATTACTGTGACTGTTTACTTTGCCTGCCTGCGGAGCACAGACCATAGAAAATTGCTGTTCCATTTATACATCAAGTCTACGTATTCTGTTTGTTTAATATATACAGTCTAACCATATGTGATTTCAACTTTCTGTAACAGGATCTTGTTACTTCTGTTTCTGATGGGTTAAAGAGAGATCTCTGGATGGATAAATCATCAGGCAGAAATACAATACATATGGGCAACCAACAGGCTTGCAACCAATCCTTTCCTTCATCTGATCCACATAATAACCTGCTGTTTTATGCTTCTGGTGTTACCTTTGTTTCTTGACCTCAAAAGATTCTGCCTTTCATGAATCTTTTGACTACTGTACCTATGCAAAGTGGCAAACTTCCTGTAGAAGAGCATGTTTTGACACAAATTGCAGATATCTTCCAGAAGTGAAAGAGCAGCCCATGGACTAGTTAATTTTAGCCTGTTTCCCTAAAGCAACAGACACTGTGAGCATAGTTTCACTTCAACAAATTTCCAAATCCTGAAAGAAATATCTCTAAATGTGAGTTTTCCAAAGTCTAAAAAAAAAAAAAAAATCTGAGATGTTACCTGCACAATGCAGCTAACTCTTTGTTGCAGTTACCTTTCCATTCAATAAATTTTTTCTGATGGATATAATCCTTATGAAATTCTAAGCCTCTCAGGAAGTTATGAGACTTTGCCAGTAGTGGGCGCTTGGTCATAATGTCCTGAAACATTTCATACAACTTCCCTGACAGACAGGATGGAGGCTCGATGACAGTGATATCATCCTCAGGCGAATGTTTTTCTGAAATAGAGAAGAAACTATGAAATAGAGAAAAAAAATATCAGCAACCTGCTCTGCCACACTCGTTTACTGGCTAGTTGCCCTTCTTGTCTTTCTGTGGGTCCTTCTCCTCCCTGTTTCTTGCAGGCTGCTGGAAAACATGTGCACATGACCCATAGCATTTCAACAAAGAGATATTTGGTTTTCTTTAAAGCAACCACAGCTTTTGTCTTTTACTCTTTCAAATGACATACTGGCTTTGTACTTTTGCCCACAAGTAAAAGCCACCCCTCTCATTTGCAGTCATGGGTGGAGTCATATAACAGAGTAGGAGGAATTTTGAAATGAAAAACATTTGTAACTAGCATTAATTCTCCCTCAAGGGGAGGGGAGGGGAGAGAAGGGGAGGGGAGAGGAGGGGGGGGGATGGGAAGAAGAAAAAAAAGAAAACATCACATAGTGATGTGAGAGATTATTCACAAAAAGCACCAACAGTGTACCTTTCTTAAACTCCTGAATAGGAAGTAATGTCTGGTCAAAAAAAAAAAGCTGATTTTTAAACTCTTACCTATATCTACCATATCTTGGGCCCATCGTTCCCAGAACTCATTTGAATTTGAGGACCAGTACAAGCCATCCAGCAAATTCCTAGTAAAGATGTTTGTCCAAAGACCTGCAAGCCAAACCACATGGTGAAAATACTGCCCTACCACATGTTAACCACTGACTATTACAAGTATCCATGCCTCATATTACTGGCCCACATAAACAGACCCTGTCATAACACAGCTTAAGCAGTAGGTCTCATAGAGTTTAAAATTAATGGTGTCAGCACTTCAGTGCTCTTTTTTAAGAGGTAACTACATCCAGACCATTCACTGCATAGTAGAGAGTAACAAGAGGTATCAATCACTCAAATGATATTTTAGAGTGTTTACTGTGTAGCTTTGAGAGAAAGCAGGCTTTGAAAGCATGGTGAAGCATCAGGGCCTTCTTTAAATCAATTTATTTTTTAAATTGATCTAAGATACATTTTTTCCTTTCAGGTTTGTTTTTTTTTCTGTGGAGTGCAACAGGTCCAGGATCAAAATAGAACTGGTTCCATATGTGAGTCTGCTTTTGGAAAAGAAAGAACTATTCTTTGTCATGAGGAACAAATTCAATCTTTAGCAGACTTCACAGTGAGAGAAATATGTTTTTCGTCTCCACTGGACCCCTGTTTTTGGTATGAAAACTACAACTTTTGCAAGGATTTAAAATCTGCCTGGGACAGATGGGTTCCTCTGACTAGCTGTTTTTACCCTTTACCTTTACTGGCAGAATGGCCAGTCAAGGTAGCTGTTCAAGGTTAAAAGGGCTTCCTTCATCCTTATGGGCAAAGAAGATTATTGACATCATTCTCAATCCACAAAGCTCAGAGCAAAACCCACCTTTGTGGGTTGTTTTAGATGACATATTTTATTTTCAGATCCTTCCAGTTCTACCCCAGTAATGCATAGTCTAGAAATACAGTTTATGAACTTGAAGAGTTGATGAGTGCTCAGGGAAGGAAGGCTTATTATTTCCTCAACTTGCCTTTTCCACCATCTTGTTTGGTTTAGAAAATGTAAGGGGAACCATGTTACAACTTTCCAAAATCTGCTCAGGTTAGAAGGGAGGAGAGAAAGAAAGAAGCTTTACAAAGAGCAGAAGTGTACAAAGGGGGTAAAAAGTCCATTGAATAGAGACTAGAGCAGACCTGCTGGCAAGGAGTGTTGTACACAGGCCAGTGGCTATCTAGTATCATGATTAAATACATTGTACTGTTAGGTCACCTTCCAGATAGCAGATCCGAGATTCTGCCAGCTTCTTCACTCGCCTTCCCATGAAGAACTTGCTGTCAAAATATTCTGAAGGAATGGAGACTCCGTATTTTGGTATGGCTACCTCATAAGGAGAGAAATCTGCCCACTCTACAAAAGAATTGTCACATGGCATGTTTACTGCAGCAAAACTAAGAAAACAAAACCTTCCTCTGCGGATAAAACTATCCACAAGCTCCATGGATCTTGCTTGTCTCAGCAGCTTGGTACTATCCATAGCTTTGTACTTTAGGCTGCACCATATACCTTCATACAAACTGAGAGATGATTTGCATAACAAAGGAGCTAGCCTTTTCACCTCAGAAAAAAGTCTAACATTATGTTCAAAAGCTTAAGTATCTATTTCTATATAAAGATTCTGGCATCCCACTTGCCTCTCTAAATCAAGAGCATCAACTGCGCAACATGCAAGTGTAATCTAAACTGCAAGGAATAACTGGCCGGAAAGCTAACCCAAACCTGCCAGTCTACGTGATATAACAGAGTAGCCTGAAGACACACCAGCATAAAACTAGAAAGTATCACAATGTGGGCATGGTCATGTAGTTTCCTGACTCAAGCTTTCCTGTACAGGCATTGCAGTAGAACAGTAGCCATAAACCTAACCAAATGTGAGCACGAATTGCTTTTTCATTCCAGAATCTTCTCATTTTAATACCCTTTCTTTAATGTAGTCCATTTAAGGACACATATCACAGCAATCATAGTCCATTTTCATACCTTTATCAGTGTAGTATTTAGGGAAGTGACAATTAGATTTCCCAGCACCTCTAGAAACTAAGGAAGCATCAAAGCCATTTTATAGGTGTGGAACTGAGGCAGAAAAAGATCAGATGATTTGCCCACACTCACTCACAATGTCTGTAGTAAGACTTCTACACAATGTCTGTAGGACTTCAGCCCAGATTTTCAGAAATGTCCTGTTTATGACTGAGGATGTTACCCAGCAGATCTGCTCTTTCTAACCCAGCAGTTTGTAAAAAAGATAAACATTTTATTAAAATGTTTATCAGGGCAAGTAACAGATGTATTCCCCTTTTTTTCTCTACTCACACACACCCCCTCCCTCCAAATTCTCTTTAGTCAATACCCAGAATCAGAAGCAACTCTAGGAATATTTACCTCTAAATTTGAAAGTACCAAACTGCTCGTCTTTCACATTGAGGACTGCATAGAAAGGCAACGGGTTTTGTCCATGCTCCAATGCCCTGCGCTGGTCTGTGAGTTTGTACTTTCTTGGCTAATAAATGAGGAAAAAAAAAACAAACATAGTAAACCTCTGGAAGAGCATAACACTGACACAATCTACCGAAGTACCAATTGATAACAGATATTTTACAAGACAGAGGAATCTGTGAGTCACATTTTAATATGAGACCTTTTCCTTCATGCTCCTGAGCTTTCCTTCTTGGTTGCCTTTTTGATACCTAGTAACTTCTTCATTAGAATATCTAAGTGCCTTGCTTGTCTGCATCCCACAGATCTTTACTAAGGCTGAGATCAATGTTCACATGAGGACAGATTACTCTAGCTCTTAAGTGTCAAATTATAAATAGATTTTAAAAGATCTGACTTTTCAGGGTGGTAGGTGCAGGAATTGCTTAGCTCTTTCTGAAAGTTTGCCTCCTGAAGTTGCTAGCTTTTGGGTACCCTAGTACAGAGGCACCTCCAAACCATTATCTACTCTGGAAAATCCTGGCTACAAGATCCTCTGTCATAGTTTACAAATCACACTGGGATGCCTCAGTCTCTTTGGATTTGTTACACACATTACATCATGCTCTCAAAGAGTAAAGCTCTAGAGAAAATGAGTGGATGTTTCTCCACTGGATGTTTGTTAGCCAGGACCACGTACATACCCGTTCATGTAAGAACATTTCCTGAACAAGTGACCACAGAGTTGTAAAAGATGACACATGTCCTGCTTTTGCCCTTTCAGTGAGTTCCTTGTGGTAATACTTCAGATGGTCTATAGACATAAGATTAAGTTTGCATTTTGTCACTTTTTCTTTCACGGCCTTAAGTGGCTCCTCTAGAGACTTCTGTGACCAGTCAGCATGCTCATACAGGTCTGCTAGGGTCCTAAGCAACAGAAATGTGAGAAAATCAACCATTATTTAGATGATTTTGCAAAATTGCTATATTTAGACAATCACTTTAATCAACAAAGAGAATCAGTAAGGCTAAACTGAAGTTATAATTGAGAAACAACAGTAAGAGCTTCACCAGGCAATTATGTTCACCTGTTAACAAGGTGTTTAAAAGAGATGCATCTCTCTCACTGTGTGGAAACGTAGTCACAGTTATCCCAATCAAACCTCATTTTCTATACTCACCATGTTGAGCCAGAAGCCCCGGTGAGATAGGTAACACAGTCCAACAGATTTAGTTTCTGAAGAGCTAAGAGGTGGCCAAACATTGCTGACATTGCTCTGAGACCTCCGCCTGTTGCCATAACAGCTATTACTGGGACCTGTTCGAAACATAAGTATTATCCTCACAAAGCTACTCCCTTGCCTACTCGGAAAAGTCTATTTACAGCTCGTAGGATTTCCTCAGAAGACTTCTCTGGAGGACAATGAAATTAAATCAACATTTAGCCCATCTTCACCAGTACCTTCTTTCAATTAACCTCCAGATACTCAGTGGATTTTCTTAATCGCAAAGCTTGGATGAGTTTCAATACACAATGATTTTAACTCTCCTTCCTACCCTTGCTCTTTGTAATTGGAATTGCAACGATTTTTAATGGATAATGATATGATTTTATTAAAAATAATAACAAAAAATTGCAGTAAGTGCAACTAAGAATAGATTAAAGAAATTTTTTTAACCTAGCACAGTTCAAAAAACCCCAAATGATTCTTTGGACAGCATCTTTTCCTTCAACAAATACAATTTCAACAAGAAAATAAATTTGCCCTTAAACATGCACCCTGGATCTTGGCAACTAAAATATTTCAGCTTATAAAGTGTTATAAAGTGTTCTTTCTTCACCCGAAAGAATTTTGACTTTTTGTGAGAAGTGTTTTGAAAATGAAAAATTAAAAGGTAAGACTAAAGAAGGGACATTACAATAATATAATAAATTAATGAATATCTATGTGAGGTGAATTTCCAATACTCCTGTTTTCCTATTGGTTCGGGTGCTCTGACTAGGCTGCATCTAATGCAATACCTTATATATTGCTGACCCACAGCATCACAGCATTGAAACTCTGGCTTTGAAGAGTGGCATATTATGTCCTTGGGAGTTTGGCCCATTGAAAAGAATGAAGGCATGAATAGCTGAGCTGAAATTTTACATGAGTAGGGGGTATGTCACACTGAGAACTTCTGCTGCCAATCAAAGCTATGGCTTTGTTATCAACATGCAAAAACTACAAGAAATTTTGTGGGGACTTGTGCCAATTCTAATTCAATAGACCCACACCCCGTGCTCGGATTCCAATTCACAGACCTCATGTCCATGAAGATCTCTTTGCAGATGAAGAACCCTTTTCAGGGCACCGGCAACCACTCTCTTCCTTTTTTGCAAGAACTGTTGCTCTTCTTGGCACAGATCGTACCCAAAGCGTACATCTAGTTTTTCTGTGCTGAAACATAAACAAACCCAGAGGCATGGGATTGGTGTTTAAAATGCACATGGACTTATTTTCAGCAACTGCAGTCTTCTAAATGTCATAAAAAATGATGATTCCTTGTTCACATTTAAACAGAAATGCATCTTCCAGTTTCAAGGAAATCAATTGCTTTGTTTCTATGCTGTATCTTTATTGTCTGATGTTTCAGTGTAAAGTTTACTGTCAGCTAAGGATAGCAAATATGTAAAGAGAAAGGCTTTGTGTCTTTCAGTAGCTTTGTAAACTGAGTCCTTTCTATTTCTGCTTCAAATCATTTCTGAGCAAAGGGTGTCTTGAACCTAACAAGGTTCATGGGCATTTGTACCACACAAACAATGCAAAGATAAAGATATTCAAATAATTTTTGTTTGTTTGTTGTCTGACTCATTACTTTACGATGTTACATTTTGTCTTTCCTAGCTTATACTTCTTTCTACTGATATCACCAGAGCCACAATTCTATTGCCTTCAGAGTACCTGTGTGGTTTGAGTAATGTAGGGACTCTGGATTATTTCAAATTTCCTTTTCCCTCTGCCTTCTTCCTGTGTCCTTTTTGAAGAAGCCTTCAATCTCAGTCTTCGGTTCTTTGATGCAAAGGACACTCAATGACTAAGTTCCTCACTGTTTGAAACTCGTAATTTCTTTTGCATCTTGGTATGACTCCTTTGCCCCAAGGACACCTAACTTTGATCTATTGTGGTGACTCTTTATTGGTGAGTTTTGTTATGTTTTGTCTCTCGTCTTGTGCATTCCTTGTATCTAAATAAAAGATACTCTGTTCTAGATTTCACAGTTCAAAGAGCAATAAAACCTTTAGAGAAAAATAAAACATTCCTCTTACCAATCATTAAGTTGCAGGTACAGCTGCAGTGGCACGTTCTGTAAACAAAGAAACAAGAGCAGGAACATGAATGAGTGGGAAAAAAAGAAGCTTTGAAATCCAAATTTTCAGTGTCTTCTGGAATATCCCACCACTACTACCCTGCATACTTAAAAACCACCAACAACAACAACAAACCCAAAAAACTGTAGCAAGAAAGAGATGGAAAGCAACTAAATGTCAAGCATATTTTATAGAGAAGTAAAAGAAGCAGGAGGGGTCAAAGTGGCTAGATGAACAGGTTGTGAAACAGGATTTCCTCCTCACTGTGAACATACCTCCCTGAACCATCCTAACCCAGCAGCAGTACCACATTGCCACCCTCTGCACCCAATTGCATTGGTTGCATTTACCGCCACACAGTAAAACTTGCACTGAAACATCTCCGCGGGTGAAGAAAGCAGCCAGATAAAGATGGTGATAAAAGGATAGAAGAAGAAATACACGTCACCTCATGCTTTCAAAAAGCTAGAGGTAAAAGATAGTCCTAAAAGAGAGGTGGGGAATCACTAGTGGCAAAACAAACATTCATTCTCCCTTCTCGTTACAGGAAAGGCTGCTGAAAATTCTGGGAAATTTTTCTCCTCCTATTTTTGCTTCTCATTGCTGCAAGGTCTGGAAAAGGATGTCTGGCTATTGTTAGCTGATTGATCTGGCCACATGGCAGTATTACTACTGCTTTTAAAGCAACTTAGAGTTGAATCTCTTCACCAGTTACCATCACGACTGTGCACTTAGAAGAAAAGGGCAGCATTGTTTTCTGAGGGCATGATTCAACACATCTAACTTGGGCATCTAAAACTTGGGTCTGTAAACTGCAATAGCCACCCAGGCTTGATAAAGAGCAGTAGAGAATCCCAAAACCTTGCTGGGGGATCAAACATTCTCCTTTAACTGTAAAAGTACCACAGAGATTGGTCTGAAATACATCTCAAACTGGCCAGGATGAACTCCAAAGTATTGATTTTATTGACAAAAAAATTCATATTTCTCTGAGAAAACTAACCTTTTTCATAGAAAACCTGTATTTGCCCAAAATTCTCACTCAGATTTTTTAAATTATTTTTTTTTAATATTACGGTGTTAAATACTGAGGGTTATTTCTACTCTTCTCTTCAAAAGATCATATAAATTGTGAAACACTTACATGTCTTACAGGGAGAGTCACTTTCACTTTATGTCCAACAGGGAGAAATTTCAGTGGTACTGTTAAGGTGTCACTTAAATTGCTGTTGACATCTTCCTTATCAGAAACTTTCTATATAAAACAAAAAGCATGGGTTGTATTCACGGAATAGAAACAATCCAGTTCTTTTCTATTTTGGTGACACTGTAAATAAGCATTATGAAAAATAGTAGCATATAATGCCCATTACCTGCAGCCTGACTTTTAGAATTGGCTCCCAAGCCTTCAAGCAATGGAAGTAGAAAGTATCTGTGTCCTCTTCAGTCCTCTGTGTTCCCTCATGAGAGGCAGGCACGCTAAGCACGAGATTTTTACCCTCTAGTGAAAACAGGTTTGTTTAGAGAATAATACTGCTGTTCAGGCAAAATAGCTAACAAAGTTGATAAAATTTCTGCTGGAGTAATTTTCTGTGGTAGCTTCTCTGTAAGCTGCCACACTGGCAAGTCTCCTACAGCACAGGAACTGGTACTCCTGCCTTTACCCTATAGCTTGGAGTGCTCCCAGACTCAGCACCCTCTCACTTCCACCAGCATGGTTTACTATGTCCAAACTTGATAGCTTCAAGAAAAAGACACAGAGATCAGCCTTACAACTGAAAGGGCAGTTCAGGGACTTTCACTGCATTACATTTTATTATTTAGAACATATATATTTATATTTATATATATATATGATTTAGAACATTTTTATTTGTCTCTGGATCTGAATGACTATGATAGAGTTGATTTGGTCATGTTCTCGGTTTACAGAGAAATCGCCATACCTCTCAAATATTTCCTGCTTTCATTAATGTCCACTTGTACTTCCAAGCAGCAAACCTCACGGGACTGTAACAGACAGGAGTAGAAAAGGGTGAAGATTGCAAATGCCACATCTGCAGCAAATAATGAAGCATCATGCGGAAAACCACTACCTATAATACAGAGCAAACTGAACTGGTCTCAGTGCTGGGAGCAATCAAGCTGCACAAGAGTAAATTCAGAGCTCACTATCCCAGGACAGTAGGCCAGCTGCACTGCTTCAGATTGTCCATACAGTGGTGTGTTGTCGTAGATGGTTAATCCATTCAAGTTATCCCAAAATCAGGAAACTGTACAACACACTGCTGCCCAAACAGCTACACATATATCTAATAATTCTTTAGGAAGGGTGGGGGAAAACACCTGATGATGAATTTCTGTGTATTGTGGCAATGATTAGTCTACACGGCATCTTCTTACTGGCCCTGATGCAGGGAAATCGTGGATTTATTTCACCCTTCCCTTCACTTGAGTCAATCAAGTTCACCTCTAATAACTCATGCCAGGACAGTTTTTCAAGTCATCTCAGAAACAATGCATGCCAATCATTACAGCTCTTATGCCTCACACAGAAAATGAGGGGGAAACAACAGAATATGTGTTACTTTGCCTCAGGGGTACTAAGGGCTAGCATCTGGAAACCATGAGCAGGTTTGGAGTGGTTGGCATGAAGTACTTTGTACTCCTTAGCTGCTGGGCCAGCCCAAGGAGATAGGTAATGTACCACATGCTGACTAATACCAAAACAGAGCTCTATGTTTCAACAACTAAAATAACTCTTCATTAAAAAACTCATTTCCCAAAAACGTGTTACATTACATATCATTCCATTCATAAGCACACTGAATATTTACTACTGTCTTCTACAGACTCATCCCTTTTAGAACCTGTATTTTTCCTGCCAAGTGCCATACTGTATTATGTGAAACACAAGCAGTTTTCACTTTAAACACCAACAAATACGGGGTTCTGTGACATTAACAAACAACAGCTTCGCAACATATTGACATCTGTAATATCTGAGGACTTCAAGAAACACGGCTTCTGTTTTTGCATGGAGAGGGCAACACTTAAGCCGTAACAAATGGGAACTGTCCCACATCTTTCCTTTATAGTGCACACCATGCTCTTCTCTACCATGGTAGTTTCTGTTCTCTCTATAAAATTACAGATGTATTCTGACAGAGAAGAGGAGAGGAGAGAATCAAAATGAAGGAGAAGTCGCTCCAAGATAAATACGTATGTGAACCTTACCACTAGGACATCATTGGTAATGAGGCGCTCTGGAGGGCCGGGGCTGAAAAGACATAATCAAATTACAATAACAAACACATGAAAGCCGTGTGAGTATCTCCATTGCTGCTTTTTCTTTTAAAATAGAATTGCTACGCCCTTTCCTACTTAAAACTGAATATAGTTATTTTATCACAATTTGTTTTTTAAAAGGCAAAATACACAATCACCTACTAAGCACATGAACCAAAATATAGTAGCCAACCAAGAAGAAGGACAGGAACGCCCATAAAAGTAACAATGCTTAAAACTATATGCTAAGATACAGCAGAACAAAGACATATTGGTCTATGTGGGATCATGTCCTGCTATTAACAAATGACCACATGACTTGGGGAAAGCAAAGACTACTATTAATGTGTTCTGAAAATACTTATTAGAAAAGACATTTCTGACTGTTCCAGATTATAATTTATGGCTGATCACAAATAAATGGCAAATAAGAATTAGCTCCCACTGCGCTATATGTATGACTGCAAAACACAGAAGTAAGCAATAAAAATCTTTGTCCCAGATATTTACCTTGTAAGACCTAGGTCTGTCACTGAATAGATGTGGTTATTTAATAATATGAGTAACCTACAGAGTCTAAGAACAGCGCCTTTCATTAAGGTCAGTATTCCAACACCCCTATGTTACACACATTCATAAGTGTTTTCATATATCTGAAAGGACCATTGAAGTTACGTAGCATGCAATCTTTGACTTCGGGCAAAGTCTAGGGTATATTACCAAACACCACTTCCGCCTTAAAAATTCTATTTCAGCTGTAAAATGTCTTTAAATGTAAAAAGCTAGGTTTGACTTTCAGGAATGGAAAATCCCCCACATGCCATATAACTTGAATGGTGAAAGGTGTTCCTCTTATTTCTAGTCTAGTTCCCAAGCATTGCGTCTCAGTCTGAACTTTCTCATATCTAGCTGTGACTGCTTCCACATTTGCAGGAGATGATTACAATTCTTTTAAGGTATCTCTCATAGATAAATTAAATACATTTTCCTGAGTTTCACTGTGGGAGAAATTAACCAAGAACACCAGTGATTTTCACAGAATCACCAAATATGCTGAGTTGGAAGGAACTCACAAGGATCACTGAGTCCAAACCTTAGCCTTGCACAGGATCACCCCCAGGAGTCATACCATGTGCTGAGAATATCATCCAAACACTTCTTGAACTCTGTCAGCCTTGATGCTGTGACCCTGGGAAGCCTGCTCCAGTGCCCAAGCACCCTCTGAGTGAAGAACCTTTTTCTAATATCCAACCTAAAGCTCCTCTGACACAACTTCTGGCCATTACCTTGGGTTCTGTCACTGGTCACCACAGAGAAGAGATCAGTGCCTGACCCTCCTCTTTCTCTCACAAGGAAGTTGTAGACTGCAATGAGGTCTCCCCTCAGTCTCCTCCAGGCTGAACAGACCAAGTGACCTAAGCTGCTCTTCATACGGTTTCCCCTCAAGGCCCTTTAACATCTTTGTTGCCTCCCTTTGGACACTCTCTAAGAGCTTTGTATCCTTCTTACATTGTGGCACCCAAAATTGCCACAATATTCAAGGTGAGGCTGCTCCAGGTCAGAGCAGAGTGGGACAATCCCCTCCCTCGAGTGGCTGGCGATGCTTTGCCTGATGCCCTCCAGGACACAGTTGGCCCTCCTGGCTGCCAGGGCACTGCTGACTCATATTCAGCTGCTGTTGATCATGAACCCCAGGTCCCTTTCTCTGGCACTGCTTTCCAGCACCTCATTCCTCAGTCTGTACAAACATCTGGAGTGGTCCCATCACAGGTGCAGAATCCAGCACTTCCCCTTCATATGGTTGAACTTCATATGGTTAATCAATTCGTCAAGGTCTCTCTGCAGAACCTCCCTGCCTTCAAGGAAGTCAGCAGCTCCTCCCAGTTTAGTATCATATGTGAACTTCTTAGTATCACTTTCAGTCCTGTGTCCAAGTCATTTATGAAGATGTTGAAGAGCACAGGGCCTAGTGGAGCTCCATGGAACTCCACTAATGACATGTCACCAGTTCCCCCATTCACTATTACCCTCTGTGCTCAATCCCTGAGCCAATTGCTCACCCACCACAGATGTGTTTATCCAGCTATGGGCTGAACATTTTATCCACAAGGATCTTGTGAGAGGTAGTATCAAAAGCCTTACTGAAATCCAAAAAGATTACATCCACTGGCTTCCCTTGATCAACTAGGTGAGTTAACTTTCCATAAAAGGAAATCAGGTTTGATAAGCAGGTCTTTCCTCTCATTAAGCCATGCTGGCTCTGACCAATGACAGCATTGTCTTTCAGGTGTTTTTCAATACTTCCCAAAATAATCTTCTCCATAACTTTACCAGGCACTGAAGTGAGACTGACAGGCTTGTAGTTTCCAGGTTGCTCCTTCTTGCCCTTCTTGAAAACCAGAACAATGTTCGCCAGCTTATAGTCATCTAGGACCTCTCTGGATTCCCACGACTCCTTGAAAATCATCAAGAGAGGTTTTGCAATACCATCAGATAGCTCTTTGAGGATTCTGGGATGAATCCCATTAGGCCACATAGCTTTGTAAGGATCCAGCTGGAGCAGCAGGTCCCACACAGTTTCAGGATCGACTGCGAGTTGATCATTCTCACAGTCATGGCCTTCCAGTTCAGGGCACTGAGACCCCCTTGGTCCATCATCCGTGTTTAAAACAGAGGCAAAGAAAGCATTAAACACCTCTGCCATGTCTCTGTCCCTGTTTGTGAGGTGACCATCCTCATACTGTAACAGGCAGATGATATTTCTATACTGCCTATTGCCATTAACATATTTTAAAAAACTTTTTTTATTGTCCCTCACATTTCTGACCAGCTTCAACTTCAGTAGAGCTTTGGTCACACAAATTTTCTCCCTACGGTGGTAAGAAGCATCTCTGAATTCTTCCATGTCACTTGACCTTGCTTCCACTGGACATACACCTTACTTTTTTGCTTATTTCAAAGAGAGAAGATTCCTGTTCAGCCGGCCTTCTGCCTTGCCTGCTTGATTTCTGACACTTGGGAATTACTGCACCTGTGCCCTTAAGAGGTGGTATTTGAAAAGTGACCAGCACTGATGGACCCCAGCACCTGCAAAAACCTTTTCCCAGGGGACCTTATTTACTACTTCGCTGAGCAGCCCAAAATCTGCTCTCCTCATGTTCAGAGTTGAAGTTTTGCTCGCAATTTTCCTCCTGTCAACAGAGATTTTAAAATCAACCACTTTGAGGTCGCTGTGGCCAAGACAGCCACCAGTCTCCACTTCCCTCACGAGATCCAGCCTGTTGACAAGCAGCAGATCAAGGAGAGCATCTTTCCAGGTCAGCCCCCTTAGGACCTGATCCATAAAGTTTCATCTAGGTGTTTCAGAAATCTTCTGGCCAGTGTTGTACCAGCTGTGTGATGCTTCAAGTTGATTTCTGGCAAGTTGAAGACCCCCATAAGGGCAAGGGCAGTTGACTTGGAAGTGTCCCTGGGTTCCTCAAAGAAGAATTCATCATTGTCATCATCCTGGCTGGGAAGTCTGTAGCAGACTTCCACGATGGTTCTTGATTCTTATCCAGGGGCTCTCAACTGTGTCATTGCCAACTGTGAGCTCCATACATTTTAAGCCTTATATTACACACAGTGCCACCCCTCCACCTCTTCTGCCATGCCTATCCCTCCTGAAGAGCCTGTAACCATGCAATAGGGCATTCCAGTCACAGGTCTCATCCCACCAGGTTTCACTTATGCCGATGGTGTCAAATCTCTGGGATTGGGACAAAGCTCTGAACACATCTCTTTTGTTCCTCATGCTGCCTGCATTGGTGTGGAAACATTTCAGGTGTGGTACATTGTAGCCAACACCTCCTGACGCAGACTGAGGGATCCCAGCAGGCTTTTCTCAAGCTTTGGAACACCATCCTATCTCTCATTGCTGGTAAGCCTGGTTTTGTCCCTTTCCCCTTTCCAAGCTGGTTTAAAGCTCTGTCAACAAAGCCTTCTAGCTCCTGTGCTAAAACTCTTTTTCCCCTCTGAGACAGAAGCATCCCGTCAGGTTTCAGCACACCAGGTGTTGAATAGATCATCCCATGGTTGAAAAACCCGAAAGTTTTCCAATTACACCGACCTTGGAGCCACTCACCAACCTGATAGATCTGCTTATTCTTATCAATATTATTCCCTGTTACTGGAAGGATCGAGGAAATTACTACCTGTGTTCCTGATCCCTCTAGCAATTTTCCCAGGGCTTTGAAGTCTCTTTTGATTGCCCTAAGACTTCTCTTTATTATTTTCTCACTGCCAGTTGGAACAACCAATAGCAGATAGTAATCAGAGGGCCTTAGTAGACTGGACAGTTTTCCAGTAAAGTGCCTTACCGAGCCCGCAGGAGACAGCAGACTTCCCTGTGAGTTGGGTTTGGTCTGAATATTGGGCCTTCCATTCTCCTTAGAAGGGAGCCTCCTGATACAACTACTCTTCTTTTCCTGTTAACAGAGGTCTTGATGCCTGTTACAGGTGGTGTTGTTTTAGGAGGCCCCACTACCCCAAAAGAACCTCATCAGTTGTCTGACATCAGAGCCTTATAACTGTTATAGAAAGTACCAGTCCTACCTGTCAAATTTTGAGAAGGAGGAGGAACCTTCCTCCTTTCTTCATGTTTAAGAATAAGAAGCCTTATTTACAGCTCCTTTTTCTGATCATGCAATTAGCCAGTTTTGACTGCGCTACATTCTTTTCTTTTTGCTAACGCCAAACTCAAATGCATCAGAATGTGCAGTTAAGCAGGTTTTCTTCAACCAAACTTGTGATAGCTTTTAAAAGACAGGTAAAGTTTATCTTAATGGGACTTGTTCTCCTCCTGACAATGCAGATTACCACGTTGAGAGGTCTTAATTTTATTATTTGTTGATTGTATGTTTTTTCAGTTTGACTAAGCTATCACCTAATGGGTAACTTTACTAATACTGTCTACATATCTCTATGTATACCTTGTGATAATCATACAAGACAAATTTTATGGTCTTTGAGAAATTCCACAGTGTTCTAGGCATTGTTCAATTAATATTAACAATTTGAAGAGCACCTATGTTAGGTTTTACATGCGTCTTGTGCAAAAGTTACCACATTGTGCTGATTTTATAACATTTCTAGGATCTGGATGTACATGCTGAACAGAAGTTCAAAATTTGTATTAAATACCCTGACAGGTGGTATTAACTAGAGAAGTTAAGGTAAAAAAAAAATAAATTTGAAACTGTAATATAGGTTCACTGTTGGGACGAAGAGCTGGAAGAAGTTTCTCTTTTTCTGAGATATTATTACTCCCTGGCTAATCATTACCTTCTAGCTTTGGAATATTACTCACATTCTTTCCATCCAGAACTCCACTTCCAAACTTTCCCATTTCTTAGTGCACCTCTCTGTCTAAAAAGAAAATGGTAAAATAAATACAGATTATTGAAGGCTGTAAGAATTTGGCAGCATAGACACACCTAAAAAGCACTTCTATGGCTGATATCTCTCCTGCTTACGATACCAAAAAAAGCTCTGTGTTATGTCTTTCCAAAGCTGAGATCGCAACGGAAACCACAGACTTGTGAATGGTACTTAAGATTAACACTCTCCCATTGTGTGATATGTAGAACAATACACATTTCCAAAGATACCATCAGAGAGGGAAAGCTTGACTGAAAAGGAAACATAATGGCTTTCTGCAAGGTAGTGTGTGTGGAAGAAGGGCACTGAAGCCCAGCAACAAGTCGGACTAAGGAGAGAGACATTTCCACCCACAGACCATTTAAATCACATTTACACTGAATCCAGAAGAGATGAATTAGGCAAGTGACTGAGGAGGTTACTGAATCATTGCACTTCCCAGTGACTCACCCACTGGGTAAACCAGCTGGCAGAGTCACAAGGAAAATCCACGTTAACAGCTTTCAGCATTTGGGAAGTAGCTGTTCTTGTGAACTGTCTCCTTCCTGCAATGAGCGTGTAGCAACAGCTCAGCCACAGCTCAGACAAGCCCAGGAGTTGTCACAGACCTATGCCAGTTTTGTTTCCTGGACAACTCTCTTTCATGAGCTCCTTAATAAAATATCAAAGATGTTAGCATAACAGACATTCCTTTACTATGGGCTAGAGAAATCTGAATCACCTAGAAGGAAACACAGCATGAACAGAAGAAGCCTGAAAGTACAACTTAATTCAAGTGATGAGTGAATTGTCTTCACGTTTTTAATAAATAAGTTACCATTAAAGAGAAAATGTCCTCTAAGCATGGCAAAAGTGAAATAAAGCTGAAAGGTAAGGAAGTTAATTATTTGGATTATAAAAGAAAATTATTATTTACAGGTGCTTCCTGATAAAATATTTTGCCATCACAGAGCATGAGAGAGAAGCTGCTTCATTATCTGAATTTGTAAAAAGAGATTAGTGAAGTCACAAAAATCCAGCAAAATTATATTTGTTTTGATGAGGTATCGATAATGATTATATAAGGCTGTCTGTTTATGAAGATCCAAACCCTACTCAACATGGAAGCCAATGTGGACAATAAGGTCTTGTCAATCACTCCCTGTATTTTCAGCTCTTACCTCTGATTTCAAGGCAAAAGTCTCACGGATTGTCTCCCCAGGTCTGACTCTAGCAACGTTAAAAAGAACTGTGAACTGCTCATCATCTTTGGTGAGAGGATCTTCATCACACACTGCCAATTCTAAAATGTTCTAGTAGTAGAAAAAAATAAATAAAAACACCTATTGAGCTTCTGTTATGCAGATACAAAAAAATGGTTACAGATTTTTGTACTTGCTTCACTAGCACAGTGGTAAGAATAAAGAAACGTGCTTTCCTTCAGGAGTTTGCTAATGTGGAACATTATTAAACCAAATCTTGGGAAACTTATGAAACAGAAAACAACTACCTACGAGAGAGAGCTCCCACTTCCTCAAGACAGAAAAGATGTCAGTGCTTTGCACCAAACTGATAACCCACCCAAAGAACACACTTATTTTCTTCATCCCCCAAGGTCTCTTAATTATACAGTTTAGAACAGGATTAAATTTGTTGTCTACAACACAGCAACTTCTCTAGTCTTCCCTTAAAACCAGTGGAGAGAAAGATCTTTCTAAATTAGCCATTCAAAATAGCACAGAAGAAGCATGCTACAACAGTGCTTATTTCACTCAGGTGACAACAAAGGAAATCTAGAGTAGCTCAGATATAAGCATTTACATCACCAATGTCTGAAACTAGCTGAGGGGAACACCACTGCTTATGTCTACTGTTCTGTGCAAACCAGCCTGATACACAAGCATTTTCTTAAGTTATTAAGCACAGTTGATCAACAGGTGTCAACTGAGAATTCCCAGATATTCAGAATGGTGACATTTCTATTTTTTTACTACCTCAACTTCTCTTTGGATCCTAAAGTAGAAAGTCTCATTCCAGACAGGGTTGTCCGAATTCTTGATGGTTTTGGTCCGAAGCTTTCCTTTTGAAGCAGATGGCAGCCACAAGCGCACATAGCAGTCTGATGCAGTCACTGCAGCAGAGAAAAATTAAAAACCTAATGTCAACATTATAGATGAAAAGTAGGGCTAGGCCATAATCCCAGGGAATTAATAAACATTATTACTTGTTTTGGTTTTTTAGTTAGTAAAGAGATCATCAGCTGGAAACAACCAAGGAAAACCATCTAATTCCAGATTAACCACAAATTGCAAATGTGTACTCATGCACTCACAAAGTACACTAAGAGCCATATATCCCATGTGAAGAGAAAGAGGTATAAAAGACCCCACTGACCGTTCATTGGGCACAGTCCTTACAATTCAAGTCAATGATGTTAAAAAAGTTTAACTGAAACTACAGCTAGTTCCAAAAAGGGCTGTTAGGATGATTACAGGAAAGGAGAATGCATATTACAGAAAAGATCAGAAGAGACTGGCTTGCTCAGTCTAGCAACACAAACATGCAGAGGGACATGATGGCTGTCTAGAAGGGTTAGGTACTAGGGCAGATGATCTGTTGCAGCTAAAGGCTGGTGTGGGCCCAAGAACATGAGCAAGCCGGAAATCTTCACGTCACTTCCAGCCTACATCTACTCCTTAGGGTTAGTGTGGCCAGTGCCTCGAGCAGCCATCCTTTGGGGAGAGCCAGGGTGGGAAAGCACATTTACTTTGTGAAGCTTGACAACCGTGTGAAAGGAAATCTCCAAGGTGATGTCTTTCAGAGCTGGAATCTGGACTTGACTGAAGATGTCTACTGCAGCCCGAGATGCCTAAATACTTCAGACTGGTATCAAGCAGTGAATAACATTGCCCCGCAAGGTTTTGGCAGGAAAGTGGACTTGTCCCTTCAATAGAGTAGATAGAAGAGATCATTGAAACTCAGAAATACAGGTCTTGTCACTCCAACACCTTTCTAGCGTCCCCCTCTGGACAGTGCTACATGCCATTTGCAACTGGAGTATAGAAAGCCCTTTGGCAGGCAGTTACTCCACCAGTGAAGATTTACTCCCTCTGGTCTCCCTCTCAGCCAGGCTCAGCCCTGAATGGCAAGACATGAATAGTCTCTTCTGTAACTCAAGGAAATCGTTGCAAAGTGATGCTTTTTTTGGCTGAATGAGTCATTTTTCACTACAGGAATACAGAGGCCAGAAGTCCAAAAGTGTGACAAAAGGCAGAGATCATGGTCTCTGCCCTAACTGAGGAACCTATGGGAGACCACTGCAAAAATGGCAGCTGAGTAGTCCACAGCACACCTTGAGAAGGAGCCATAGGAGGCTGTGAGGGTGAGATAATGAGTTAAAGACAGTTGAACACAAATGTACACAGAAAAGTCTGTTTTGCCCTCATGTTCAGCATGGGCTTAGGGCTGGATCCTCAGAGGCCCTCCTTAACCAAAACTACCAATATAATTTAATGTGACTGGTCACTGGAGAACAGCAAATACCCTGAAAGATAAGGTATTTTAGAAGGCTTGAAATTCCATGATTTACCTTTGATTATTGCATATGATTGTATAGGATTTCATTAAAAGGTGCCTAAATAAATGGCCTGTGTGGCAAAATTCCTGTCCATTATATGATTTTTACCAATCAGTAACACCAAAACCAAACAATTCTAAGCAGATTTATAGGCTGCAGTGTTCTCACAAAGTCTATTTTCCCTTGTTGGCCCAAAAACTCCATCTGCGTGTCTCGATTTTTACCAGTTCCCTGAAATGCCACTAGAGATGTATTCAAATCTATGGATACCTCAGGCATTTGATCTAATTATAGCCCTGGCATTAGTATTTCTATTGCTGTGCTTTATGTACGTTGCTTGCATACCTTTAGAACTTAAGAAAATTGCTCACTGTGTCACTTAGGTGACTAAAATTACAATCAAACCACAACTCACACAGGTCTCTTGACTTGATGTTCTTAGCTTGTATGATTCTTACAGAAAGCATGTGGAGGGGGCAAAACTTCATCTGCAAAGAAAACAAATGCAATTCAGAATACAAAACCAAGATGTACTTTTAGCAGTACAGGGAACAGTCTGTCATTCTGCTTGTCTATTTGAAGTGAGGCACCCACTCTCCAGTTGATGTACACCAAGCTAAGATGGTAACACAACTGCACGCTGGGCTATTTGCTAAGTAGCTTGAGTAAGTGAAGACAGACGGAGAAAACACAGACTCAGACAATGGCATGGAAAGCTTTCATAGTCACACTAGAGTTGCCTGTTTTCATGCAGCTTCCTGCACGCACAGCCACAGTGATGGTTGCACTGCCAATCCGCCAAGGGTCCTGTGCCACAAGGAGGTCATAACAGTGCCCGTGGAAGGGGATACTAGGAATTTGCAGCTGCCTGCCCAGGTCATGGCACAGCACTGACACTAGGCCAGGACATGGTACTTACCAAAATGCTCTAGAAACTCCTAACTTTGTATCCCAACTAGGATTAAATTACTATGACACTTGTAAGTAGGCTAAGCTCACCGAAAGGTCCTGCTGACTTTAGGTGAACAGTGCACAGGCCCAGCACAGACCCTTCAGATGAAGAAAAAAGTGCCCTGCTTTGCAGGAATGGTATCACAGAATCCTGTATCATTATGTATCCTGAAAATACCTAATGGGAATGGAACCACTTCCCTTCCAGACATGAGATTTATTTCTATCACGGGCAAGCTATCATTGTAATACTTATTTCAAGTTACTTTCTCCTTACTCTTAACAAAAAAATTAGGCTTTTCAGCCTAAGCTGGTGAGAACATACTTGTCACTTTCAAAACACATTCTCCTAAATGTGAATGAACACATATATGAACACAAAAATCTTAATAAGTGAGAGAAATATTTAATTATTTTTCAAATTCGTACATTTAAAAGTTTTTTTAAATTTTCTGCCTTTTTTTTTTGTTTGCACATTAGAGTGACTCTTCAGTAATAATAAGCAATAATAACATGCAGTCCCACTACCATTAATAAATTAAAACTTATAGCTTAAACTACACACTGGCTGAAACATGGTCTCAATTTGTCTAAATGAGAGAATAACATTAAACTGGAACTAAATAATTTCAGAATTTTATTTTGAAAGTTAGCACCATGATTAATTTTCCTGACACTAAAATGATTAACTTTGGAGAGACAAACTGTTGGGGAAGGAAGAGCTTCTTTACAGAAGGAGTCACTCACTGCAGTTAATCTGAAATTCTTTTAAAATGGGGTGGAGACTGCTGGTGTCATCTATTAGAGATTAAAATAACCTGCATTCAGCTTAATTCAGGCTTATTTTGAGGTAAATTATGTTACCTCAAATGGATAGCAACTGAACTGTAAATTAGAATGTTCAAAAAAAGGTTTGATATTAAATTTTATTATGTCAGTTTTAAAACTACATACTTTTAAAATTCAGACTAATATTCAGGAATCACCCTGAACAGAGAAACCCTGTTGTTAAACCTACAAAATCACATGACTCTGTCTCTTGGCCTCTTAATGGTTGATTGAAACACTGCTTGTATAAAAATACAAGACAAATTTGTTCTTGTGTGACAAGAACCAGTTCTGTGTTACTCCAAATTTAAAACTGGTATTTTTAAAACTTTCTGAGTTTACTGCATTGTGGACATTATAAGTTCCAGTTGGGACACTTCCATATTATTCCAGTTGTCCACTGAAAGAATTTGACTATAATTTTCCTGTGCAAATAGTTATTTGACATAGAACTACCAACTGGAAAACTCACTCAGCATTCCTCGTGGTTTTCATTTACATACATTATTGGATTATGCAGACAAGTACAGAGGTGACTGGTTTTAATTAATATGTTATTTTGTTAACATGTTATGTTCTTTTGTAATCAACTTCCCCCTTGCTCAACAGAAGCCCAAACCATTCTGAGAGTCTGCCTTCGCTGAATAAATGGATGTTGGTATAAAATTTGCTTTGAGCCATTTGTGATGAAAATATCTTAATGGCTTATAAAAATGGTGCATTAGCAGTTCATCATCAGAGTACTCTCAGTTGTAACAGATGTTGTGTTTTCATCCTTTCCCACTAGAGCCAGAGACCCTCACTCCTCCTCCCTTCCCCTTTCAACAGCAATCACATGTCAGCATTTGCCCACTGATGGAAATATTACCAAAGCTGACTGTTCACTACTTCTGATTCAGTGCATCTTAGCCCTGATGCTGTTGTAGGGCAAAAGGCAACAGGTTCTGATGGGGAAATGTGGCCATAACAAACACTATAGGTTGTGTAAATCCCATGGGGAAGCTAGAAACCATCCCACTCCCAAGACTGCAGTTACTCCAGCCTGTGATAACCATTCAGAAGTGGGCTAATTCTTTTTTTTGTCAGAAAAAGGTAGAGCTAATTTTCTTCAACAATAGGCCAGAGCAGAATATTAGGGTCTGATGTGGATGGTCTAAAAATAACATCTTTGCTCAAATGTGCTGGTACTCCAGAATACCCTTCTAGAAAAAACTAATTATGGTTAGAGATAAGATTTACTATTTTCATAACATGAAAAGCAACATATAACTTCACAATAATGCAACTTGATGAACACAGACACCACATCCAGATAGCTCTTGACACATTTTAGGTTCATTTCCTTGGGAGAAATATGATTTTTTTCCATAGGCATACAGGGAGTAACAAAATCCCTCTGTAAACATCCAGAGTTAAAGGTGCACAAGTCCCACAGGTGCATCGTTCTGTTTTTGCTGGAAAAGTAGTAGTGCCACATTGAGGCCAACAACAGAGTGCAGGATTCAGCTACCTGTGTATGTTTGCATCCTAAACAATAACAGTCTAGACCAATAAATAGTAGCATCTCCAGAATACCAAAGAAAGGGTAGGCTAAAAATTGCAGGGGAAAACAAACAAACAAACCAAAACCAAAACAAACAAACAAACAAACCACTTATTTTCATTTTACAGTATTTAACATTGAACAATATTTCTGTACTCTAAAAACAAGTTTTTGAGGAAATCATTTCTGTTCAAAATACAGAAAAGTCAACAATCAGGAAATAAAACTAGCATGTCAAAAATTGCCACAGCTGTGTCAAACCTTAACAAACTGAAAATTCACATCCGTTGCCAACATCTCTCTGATTGCAATAATACAGATTCGCTGGCTTCCAGAGAACAGTCATATGAATGTTGGTCAGCTTCAGGAGGACACATAATTCTCCTGATTTCGGGTGGTTAATCACTTAAGGTTTCATTCCAAAAAGACAATTTTGAGAGTATTAAATCTTCTCAAAGCTCATAAATATTGAGGAGCCTACCAAGACAGTCTTTGGATGGCAGTAAAAGGATAAAAACCTACCAAGAGTTCATATGTTTGATTTCAGTCCTTATCACCCCTCCATGCTGCTCCTAGAAAATCTCATCAGTACCTTCACTAGAAATTTAGTCTTCTAGGGAAGTTTCTGCAATCTGGGAACATCCTCTCATACTCAACTCTTCTTTCTTTCTTACTTTCTTTTTTTTCTTTATTTTTTTTTTTAAGTCCTTGGTTTGTACATGTAGAAAGGCTGATTGGAATGTCAGTGTTTCACTCCCCCTGCACCAAATCTAAGCAGTTCTTCGGGCAGAGCTATCACAATGGGATAACACCAAGTCATATTAAGTTTAGTATGAGGAGTTTAGTATGAGTACCTTCTGACATTCTGTAAATAGTTCCTTGCTCAGCTTTATCAATATCTTTCAGACATGAGTAATTCCTTTTGTGGATTACTTCTTTCTTCAGTGGTACCCTAGAAGCTGTACAGTATCTTCTCTACAGAATCTCACACCAAATGTAATCATTTGGCATATTCTTACCATTCATTTTATCTTAGATACTGAGGATTTGATTCAACTACAGCTTGGAAATTTATCATACTAAGGTTATAAAACTTATAAGCTATAAAAAAGATTCATGATCAGCCTGGTTCCAAAGCACTCTTGTCCACATAGATCCTCTAATGTCTAGTATGGGCTGAGTTTATTAGCTCCTCCACCAGTGAGAATATTGCTAGCAGTTTGTCCTTCCAACCAGCTTCCTATTTTCATTAAAATTAAAGGGGTGAAAAGTTCTGATGGGAAAAGCAACTGACTGAAGAAATATACAAAGCTATGAGAGGGGATAGGAGAGAGCATGACCATAGGAATCTCGTTTCTCTCAGGAATCACAATTATCGAAAATCTTTTCACTGGAAGTTGAACAGTTAGTGAGGAAATCTAATTCACCTAGCAAACATTTACTAAACCTTCATGTTAGTATTGATGGGTTGCTTCTAGAGTCATTGTGGATTTTGGATATATCTCCTGTTCATATTCTATCAGTCATCTCTTTACATGTATGAGTGGATCCCTTGGGGCTTTGTATTGATAAAATTTCTGAGTATTTTACTAGGTAAAAATTATTCCATAGTCCACAAAATAAAACTGCTAAAGAGTGATTATTCTTGTCTGAGCAGAAGAAAAGACCTTGCTACGAATATCAAAAGTTGTAAATTAGTACTTACCATCACTTCTATGTCAACCTGGCAGCTTTTTAAACTACTACTAAACTAGGAGACTAAGGAGGTCATCTTAGATAGTTGGAAGTACCTATTTTCTAAACATGAGGGGTTTTCAATATAAAAGAAAAAAACCAACAACAACAAAAAACCCAACAAAAAACAACAACAACAACAAAAAACCCAACAACAACAAAAAAACCACAAAACCATTGTTCTTACTTCCATATCTATTTGCCAATTTACACATACTGAAAAACGAGTTTCCCTGACAGAAAAGCAGAGCTACCTGCAGTATTGAATTAATCTCTTTCCTTGGGAATAGAAGCTTTCTGATCTGAAACTATGTTTGTACTCAGACCTTTCGGCAGTGGTGCCTATTAACCAAGAGTATGTCTACACTCATGGAATATCAGCTGCAGCACTGGGATGAAATGCAAGAACTTTGTAATTGAGACTTTCTAGAT